GCCATCTTGACCCTGCTCTCGATCGCCGCAAAGCGATACTCCTAAACCAAGCTCGACCGCGAATCTCGTAGACGACGTGTCATCGCTAGCGTGATCGATAATTCGGGTGGCTCAGTTGTGTGCGATGGGAGTGTAGAGCGGGTGGCCCATGACGGGGCGTGGATGGGTAAAAACGTGTTGGGAAACGTGTTGTCGTGTTGCCGTGTTGTATTTGTTGGGGGCGTGCTCGTGCTCGTCAAACCATCACGGTATCGAGTCACGCCTTCATGCTTTCTCACACAACGAATCTCTCTGAATCCTCGCCAAAAGCCTCTCACAACCAAGGAAAATATGTAGAAAGTTCCTGTTCCTCCGCATCTCATCATTGCAATATTCGTACGTACGTACATAACATCTCAACCATCATACTATGCTACGAGTATATCGAATACGCCAGCCGATGTAGTCGCCTGGGGCACCTCTGAACTTGGCGAATCCTCTTCGGATCTCGCCTGACGAGCCGGTAGCCATGCTTACCGACTCTGGTGACTCTGGTGTACAAGCTCGAGCAACTTGAGGCTCAAAACCTGTTGAGGCAACAGCACTGTCACCGCAGTCGCTGTACAGCTATTCCTTCAGCTGTGGCTACAAAGTAGCTAGCATGTGATGCGAGGTAAGGTAGGCAAACACACAGAGTGATATTATTATCCACACAGACGCCCAAGCTGTCTTCACCTGACGGTCACAGACTTGGCAACGCCTTCACAATACTGCATAAACCCATGCAGTAGAATAGAGTCGTTCTTGTACTGCAATTACTCCAACAATGACCACAGGGATTGTTGCATGCTGACCTCTCAACCGGATCCAGCATAATATGCGCGTTGTGTGCTACAAGCATGGCAAGCAGCAGCGGCCTCGGAAAGACGTGCGGAACAACTGTTTTTGTTTTTTTTTGCAGCAACAGAACTCCGCTTTGTTGTGACACATATCACACATCGCAGTGCTGCTGGTACTTCGCCTACGAACCCACAGCAGTTGATACTGACACCACTGACACCTCAGCCCTTGCCCTAACTCACTTGTCTCGTCCGTGTTGATGATGCGGTCCGGTGTGACCTTGGTCTCTGCGAGGTATGCTTCCCATGTCCCGTAGAAGGCTCCAAGGCGAGGCTCGTCGTCTTCTTTGATCCGGTTTGCTTCGTAGATATGGGTGGCTCGCTCCGACAACCCCGGGTGCCTCGCCATGAATCCCTCAAGCCAGCTGTCCCCCGGGCCCTTGTCTGGGTAGCAGGGCGCCTTGCGTCCGTCTATTTAGATTTTCCGGACAGCTTCTTTCAGCTCCCTCCAACCCAACAGCAAGAAGTAGTGTCGGGAGGCGTAGATCAACACACCTTCTACGAAATCTTCCTCCTCCATGCACAGGACAGTCCCGGGACCAACCCTCGCATCCATGGCCACCTCTTTATTCACACGGCGGTGGAGCGAGGTCGGGTTCAACCAGTAGGTGTCCGCAGCAACGCTACAAACGACATCTCACCGCTGCGTACTGCATCGACAGCCTTCGTCCCATGCTTAGCCAGTAGGACCCCAGCAAGGGAAAATATGGCCCACATCAGGGGTGTGGGTGGGGGCTGTGCTGTAACTCGGCAGTGCTTGACCCGATCGGCACGCTGAAGTGCTCAAACGAGAGCTAACGGAAAGCCAAAAAAAAAAAAACACGGGTCCCCGCGAATTGTACACCGAGATACGTCCGTTTCAAAAAAGTATTCCTTAATGGGGGGGTGTTCCTTAGCGCCCGGGTTTACACAGACCGGTCGCCCCGGTGGTCTAGTAGGTAGCCTCGCAGCGTGCTGAGGGCCAGGTCATGGGTTCGAGTCCCGGCAGAGTGAGTTTTGTTTCTCACTAAATAAATCCTGGTCTAGGATGAAAGCGACGCGTTGGAAAGCTCGTTGTTGTTGTTGTTGTTGTTGTCTTCACAGTAAAAACCATCCCAGTCTCTCTATCCAGTACCTCCTTCTGTCTCAATCTCTCCGTACTAATCCATCACTTGACTCGGCCAATTTCCGTGGTCACAGGCTAACGTACCTAGAAAAGGTATACCAAAATAAAATGGACCCCAAGGGTCAGCAGAGCGATAAAATACAAGAAAACAAAATATAATCAGAAACAAATAAAATAAAATAAAATAAATAATTAGACTAGTGGAACGGCCGCACCACCAGCCTGGGGGGGTAGCCTCCCACTACATGGAGGCAGGTCGACGGCCAAAGGAAGGGGCGGGGGTACGTGCCAGTAAAAAACAAAACAAAAGACAAAATAAAACAGAATAAAGCAAAGACGAGGACACAAACAAACTCGCACAGAGACAGGGATATCCCTAGAGACAGTCTGAACGCGACAGCAAACGGGGGAGAGGGCAACAGAAAAATTAGTCGTTGAAATTCGACCGCAACATGTCACGTCACGCGGTCGGTCTCTTCTCGCTTGCTTTCTTCCCGCCGCGCCGTTTCCTTCCGCCCCCCTACCGCCCCGTTGATTGGTGCCGTATCTAGACTATTTTTGGGCCCGCTGTCTCCTCGTTTGATGGCTCGTTGTCGGCTGGCCTCCTCCTTGCCCTTGTGCCAAGAGGCCATGAACCTCTCAGCTCCCTGTAGCACCCCCGCGTGCCACGGTACCCCCCCCTCCACCTTCGCCGCCTCACTCCAGACTAACTTCGGGACTCCGAAGACGCTCGGCTTGTCGGTCGTGGAGCCGTACCTGGCTTCGAACATCTTCATGTCGTCCTTCAGGCATGTCAGCCAGTTCTGCTCCGGGTTTCCCTGGCCCGGGTCCTCCCCTCCCACCAACTCGCCGAACATCAGCCGTTTCGGAAGCCGCCCGTCCGGCTGTCTTGCCACGGCCCCCGCAAAGAGCAGGCGCCGTTGACGGACAGTGGCCTCCACGCTCTGGCAGCCGACCCTCTTTAGCGCCTGGGCGTATGACAGCTGCCGGTAGGTGCCTCGTTTGCGCCGGTAGCCGATAACTCGCAGAAGCAGACGGTGGTGTGTCGTCTGCAGCAGCCGGTAGTGGTCGCGGCGTGGGGACCATGTCATGCAGCCGTATAGCAGTGCCGCCACTGCCTCCGCCTGGAGTAGGCGGGCCTTGAGGCGAAACGGTGCTCCCGGTCGGTCGAAGAGCTCCGTGGCGTATCGCTTAATGCAC